CACCTCCCTGAGGAATTCACACTGTTGTGGCTGGAGGACTTTGGGAACTGGGGTTTTAGTCTGGGAAGATTCTTGCTAGAGATTGTCGCTAATAAACATAGCTGGATTGAATTTGCATGGTCTCTTGGAGTTCCTTGGGCTAGGACTGACACTTCTAATCAAAGGTATATTTTTCTCCACTTTTAGTAAGTCAGTATAAATCAGTCAAGTACCAAGAACCTCTCACATTTCTATTCTTGCTGCTTAGGAGCATGTCACTGATCTCCTTTCAAGATATGGTTTGAATGTTGCTCTAGAGCTAACTAGGTCCTTTGCATTCTTTCTCTAGAACCTAATAATTGTCTATGGATTTTCTTTTCTCTGTATGCTCATGCCTTCAAAGTTTCTGGGCCAAGAATGTTTTTCATGGTTTGTTGTCTTCCTTGCTGATAACCTAAATGTTGTGAACAAAGAAATATCAGCTCATAGTTTATGCCCTTCAGAATCATGATTCTACTAGCAAAACTATCCTAACTTAAATGCTAATTTGATGTGAAGTGCTAAGAAATGTCACCTACCTATAAATCCTCTATTATTCCAAGAAAATCTTGTTATAAAAAGTAGGAAATAAAAGCCCAGAGCAATACCAAAGAGGGAAAGCCCTACAGTAAATAGGAAGCTATGGAACGAGTGACCAATTTTGAACCTTCTCCATATATTCCTGACAGAAATCTAATATAAGATAGTTTCTCTTTACTCCTTACCAAATTATTCTTTTTCATTCTAGGTCAGGGACACATCATCATCCACAATGAGAAGAAGGTTTGTTATCCTTGTAAGCAGTCCTGATTGTCTGGGGGCTCCAGGATCTTATCTAAGCATACTTGAGTATGGTTTGTTACCTCTGAAGAATGAGGATACTTCGCATGTGAAAACGAAGTGTGATGTATTTGGTCTCTTGCTTTGGGAGATGCTGAACCTCCTCAGGGAGGTTGCTGAACCTCCTCAGGGATTCTGATTGGTCCACTTCATATACTGATCATCTTGGCCCTCACTGTGCAAATTCAAGCAGATCTTAACGTAATGAAACCATTTTGTTGGGACTGGAGGGGAGATGAATATTATGACAATTGCTATGTACCTGATTAAAAGTAGTTTCATTATTCTTAACCAAGAAATATTCATTTTAAATCAAGAAAGTATTTAAATGTAGGGGGGTGCTATTTATTTGAAACCACATTCTAAATACTTCAGAGGCAAATCATATTAATTACAGTATACACATGCAGAGAGAGGGGACCTAGTTCTGCCAACCTCTTCTGAGCTGGCAGAAAACTCTATCAGCATACTGCGAATCCCTATTCTGTCTGAGCGGAGTGACAAGCAGTACTCCTTCCTTTCTTTATATAGGCAAATACTGACTGCTAGATTCTTCTGTGTTCTGTTGGTGAGGCAATGATGGGGCAGCAGGGTAGTCCCATCATTCTACTATTTCAACCTTGTGCTAAACTGATAGTACGGAAGTAAAGTATATACTACCAGCTGAGCAGTCTAGTTTTACTGCACAATTTTGATAGACCGCTGGCAAAGCATGGCTTTATCCAGCTCTTTTGAAAAACAGGGGAATAATGGCAGATGAGACTGACCAGAGACCGGGACGAGGTGTGTCTATATTAATAGCCAATAAGTATCGTTCTGATTCTACCTATTACTGATCACTTGATGTAACCTCCAGTGTAATGCATGGTGAAACATAACAGATTTTACACATCTTGCAGTTGCTCTGGGGAGGTGTCAGTTGCAGAGGGAAATTATCTGTAAGGACAACTTAAAGCAGTGTTGTCCAAACCTGGCCACTTTAAGATGAGTGGACTTCAACTCCCAGAATTCCCCAGCCAGCCACGCTGGGGAATTCT